AGTGAGTGAATAAGTTTTCATTACCTCCTGTACAGGGAATTTATTCATATTTATGGTTTTGCCCGTCTGTCCGACGTTATTTCTCAGACATGGCTGAAAGTTTTTACTTAAAACTGGTACAGTGATGTGACATAATTGTATACCTATGTATCTTGGTTTGCTGATTATTTCGTGAACCTTTGACCCAACTGAGAGTCATTTTTGTCCCCAGAATCACCAAAAAACATGTTTCAACATGTTATCAATCATTTCTCAAAAATGCCTTGGCCAATTTCATTCAAACTTGTTATGATCATATTGTATGACAAGTTACTGATGCCGACTGACAGCCATGTTCCTAAACATTTCTCACGCTTACAGCATTTGAATGATTGATATGTCAAACCATGATGATTTCTATATTTGTTGTCAAGTTTAACTTAATGACATCATGAAACCTGGTTGCTGGACATTTTTTTAGTCCCCGTTTGGATGCAGTCTGAAAACGGGGACTTATGTTTTGACCTCCGTGTGTCTGTGCGTGCGTGTAAGCGTGCGTCTGTGCGTGCGTCCGGACCTGTATCTTAGAAATGCCTGGACCAATCGCAATCAAACTTCACACATACATCATACATGATATTATACATATGCATGTCAATTTGTTTCACGATCTGATTCAAGATGGCCGAATAGCGACCATTTTTGTGCTAAAAATCATCAAAATCAAGCATTTCTCGGCTGTTTACAGATGGATTTTGTTCAAACTTGGTATATACATTAGACATTATAGGACCTTGATGCACATCATTTTGTTTTATGTGGTTGTCATATCTCTGACTTGCTTTCACTGATTATGTTCAAATTTTAAATATTCATTATACATCATGTCATAGATAGACAGATATATTGGTTTGATGATCCAATTCAAAATGACCAAATGGTGGCCTTTTTTGTGCTAAACAATCATCAAATATCAAGCATTTCTGGCATTTATGGATGGATTTCGTTCAAACTTGGTACATATATTAGACATTACAGGTTCCTGATGCACATCATTTATTTTTCAGATCAGATTCAAAATGACTGTCTGGCGGCCATTTTGTTTTAATGAATGGGCTTCTAGACCCATATCTCCGACTTGTTTTGACTGATAATATTTTCAAATTTTAAATATTCATTATACATCATGTCATAGATAAACAGATATATTGGTTTGACTACCCTATTCAAAATGGCCGAATGGTGGTCATTTTTGTGCTAAAAAATCATAAAATATCAAGCATTTATCAGTGGATTTCGTTCAAACTTGGTACATACATTAGACATTACGAGTTCCTGATGCTCGTCATTTTATTTTTCAGATTGGATTAAAAATGGCTGACTGGCGGCCATTTTGTTTTAATGATTGGGCTTCTAGAGCTTTGACTGATTATATTCAAATTTTATATATTCGTTATACATCATGTTATATATATACATGTATTCAAAATGGCTGATTTTGAATGCTGTTCCAGAGCAATTTCTCTCAATATGGACAAGTACTTGTTTGACGATCAGATACAAATGTCAATCATTTTAATGTTAAAAAAATCATATTCCTGACATGGTTATATTCCAGCTATATTACTATGAACAAAACTATATATCTTAAATTTGATAACTAACGGGGACTGTGCCATGCATGGCCTGTTATCATTGTTTTACTTTTCTCAGTGATAAAAATTGTTGAGCTTGAATGGTTATCTATGTTTAAATATTGAGATGTTCTAGCCATGACTGATGTTGAATATGTTTTCCACTTCTATACAACTTTAGAAAATTTCGAAAAGTATTTTGTTTGTCCACATCATTCGCTATCGTATGCCAACTTCGCTAAAGACTTGTGCATTGTGTTTAACAATATTTGAAAATTCACGAAAGATCTCATCCCTTCCAAACTGTCACAGTTTATACACCTTATTCATTTGCTGGGTATTATTTTCGCTGACAGCAAACCCATAAAATGTATTGTTTCCTTCACAAACCAGTGAATTTTAAACCTAGTGAATATCTGCAATGTTAAACCAACTGAATATTTCCTTCCAGAGTAGTTAATATTAAGTAAACAAAAATTAGAATGGTAACAGACATTATAATTGTTGGGGTGTAGAACTGATTTTACCAGTCTTTGATCAGGATTCACAATAAATCATTTTTGTATTTTCGTATTTCTGAGTTTTAAGTACCGAACAAGATGTATGTATAGGATGACTACATAATCCTGTGAAATCATATTTAATGATATTTGAGGTGACAACATTATATAATATAATTACGACCTCAGTGAAATATTCACCGCTTCATAATTTCTTGATTTTGTTGCACATTAATCTAGGGCGTTTTTTTGCTTGCCTCGATGAAGTGAAGGGAAAGTCATAGTAGTGGCAAAAGTCTGTCGCCCGGCTTCGTCGTCATCGTTGTGAACTTTTCTTGTATGTGTGATAACTACAAAAATATTCAGCCAATCGACATCAAACTTGTATAGTTAATCAGTAGGTACAGTTAGCCTGTATAAGATTGAAGTTGATCTATCAAAAATACCATGTTTTTTAATAAATGTACATTGTTTATTGTGGGTTATGTTTTCTTTTTTTTAATATTATTAATTAGTAAATATAAAGGAAAATAAAATCAGATATATAATGTTGTTGGCATGGTGATGTAAATTTAAATGTATCTCCAATTTTTACATTTTGCAGTTCAAAAAACTGAACAAGAAATTGCACAAATTAAGAAAAAGCGAAAATCAAAAAAGTAAGTATTGTTTAATGTTTTTGTCTGGGAAAATATGTGATTGTTCTTATATAACTTTATAATCCATTACACAAATTTGCCAGTGTGACATTCCAAACATGTCTCATTATATATTACATATATACATCAATTGTATAAATTGAGTGATGTAATTTTGTATAATTTATTTTCGTTGTTTGTCATTAACATATTTTCGCCCAATACTTGAATTTGCTTGACTATAATATACCATCTTTTTGATTTCACAGACAGCTAAAAGAAAAAAGGAGAAAGCTGCAGGAAAATAATGTTAAAAGGAAGCAAACAGAGAAAGAAAAACACAAGTGAGTATATATAATTTTTTTTCAGTTAGTTCACTCAACAATTGTTTCTGTATTCCACATATTAGTTTGTGTTAATTCAGGTGGGTGGGTGTGTCTTTGTGTTGGAGAGGGGGTAAGGATAGATGAAGGGTGTACATTTCTACCGATTTATGCTTGAAAAATACTGTATTTGTGGGTGAAGGGATACTGACACCAACAATCCCCCACCCCCAGATTAATATTCATGTTTCTACTACACACCTCCCTACTTTTATTCTTTTTAATTTAGATAAAATTACTTGACACTAAAAGAAATGAAAAACTGCTATTACACACAAGGACAAAAAATAAATGTTTATATTTATTTATTTTTTTGGGAGCTAAAATTAAATTGTTGATAAAAATAAAGCAAAATTTTGATGACAATTTTAAAGTGAAAATTAAAAACATGTATGTTTACATTGATTTAAAACAAAAAATGACCAGAAACTTTTTTTATCTAGGCCTTACAGCCACTTATGCATCAAAATTGATATATTTTTGACTCCCATGTGCGAAGCACAAAATGGGAGTCTTTGCAGTTAGTGTGTCTGTATGTGTGTGTGTATGTGTGTATGTGTGTATGTGTGT